CGGATGCACGAACCTCATCCAGTCTAGTGAAACTGGGGAGTAGGAAACTAGGAGACTAGTAAACTCAAATACAGTGCCTCCTCCCCTTGGTGTGGACTCATCAGAACGACTCCGCGAGTACAGCAGGACAACCGTTCAAATCACCAACACCCGACACCCAAATCCGCCATGAAAATTCATGTCAGTTGAAGAAGTACATAGAGCAGACTACGACTGTGCTGCGTCCATTATGTTGAGACGACTTTGGTTGTAGGTATATTTTACAGGTGTCAACAAAAAACTTTGCAAAACAAATTGACTTACACAAATACTGCACAATCAAACAGAGACAAGTCCACGCATGCTATCTTGTGGACTAAGTGCCATGGAGTGACTGTTTTGAACAAGACTACATGATCGATAAGAACGAAACAAAGCATGCTCAACTTTAAAATCCGTACTCAGGTTGCTATAATGGTCGTTATCTTGCTGTACAAACACTATAGGTGTGGACAACGACTTTGAAACTGATTGGCCGCTGGGTTATCATTAATTCATTCATCTCTTTAGTAGCAAGCAGCCTTTTTTGTCCATGTCTGTTTTTCAGCAGTTTTCCAATAAGTTTCTCTCTCTCTCTCAACCCCAGACTGTGTACAGATGCATGCCGTCCTTTTGTGTAGCAGAACAACAAACCGAGCCTTTTCAGTCTGCTCATCCCTAGGCTTTTTACGCTTAAATGCTCTGGTGAAGTTTGGTTTGTGGTTACTCAAAGAGCACTTGTCAAACACCTTAGATTACCTGGATGGCACATGTTCTGTGCTTCGCCTGCTGATAACAGTGGGTACTTTTCAGAACACTAACTCCCCTTGATTTCAAGAGACTGCATTTTTTCGTTTTCACAAAAATCCTCACATGGATTCGGAAAGGGACGATGGGTCTGTATTTTTGCTGACAGTATTATATACTTTCAGCCTCATTATCAAGAGTGGATAGTTTGCTCTAGAATCCTTTCACAGCATATAGAACCAAGATACCAAAATTCCCACGTTATTGGTCTCCTAATAAAGTTGTGATAACAGAGGTGACATCTCGAATGAAAGCACTGTCATCAGAATAACGCTGTCACATTTTTGTTTGTAGTGAGTAAAGATAAGCGAGCAGTGCTGAGCTTTATAATTGGTCATATCTCTCTCTAATTCTCTACTAGACGGAACCGCGCCGTCCCTAAGTATACTTATATGGTGTGCCAAAGTCTGCCTTATGTTACACCCTAAAAAACTCAGTCAGTCCCTCAGATAGGTCCACATTTTCGGGACATGTTCATCCGAATACTATTGTGCTTAAAACCTTGCACGTGACACACAAATGTATTGGATAACCTTGAACGAAATTTCATTTCAGATGCGCACCACCTTAAGCAAATATTGCCTCTAAGCCGTCAAATTGAACTATTTGGCCTCGGCTTGACATGTCGAGTACATTGTGTGCTCATAACACGCAGTTTTTTCAGCGAATCTGGTAAATACGAAGCATGACTTAAGTTTCGCCTCCCAAACTTACTCCACTGAGTCAAGGTCATTCCGGCTTTTTCTTCAGACTACTGTGCTCTCAGTGACTGCGCGTTTTGAATTATGTTGTGGACCCTGGCGATCTCACACAGGCTCACTGTCTGAGTACTTCACTGCGTTCAGCACCTATTTAGTTAATTTGCTAGGTGTAACAACTCCTCGCCAACCTTGTTTTCTATATGGTTCACTACAAAGTTAAGCAATATTTGCCAAACTTATAGCTTCAGAACCAAACTACACCCTTTAACCTGAGTGATAATCTTTCTAACTGACTACTTGCCTGTTCATATCTATTAGCCACTCTCGGGCTAGAAGTAGCTGACAGTCAGCACTTTATGTTTCGCAATGTGTCAATGTTTATACCCGATCTTCAGACACATTTTCCCAGTGGCCACTTATCGAGGTAAACAAGAATAAAATGTCTTTGTTTCATAGCAGTAATAGTCAGTTTGCTACATGGTATCAGTTTCAAGAAATGCTTCATCACTTGCAAATACCTTTGTTCTGCAAATAATTGAACTGAACATTTGATTATCGACACTAAACCTTAAACACTGAGCGCGTAAGTTCTTCTTGCATCAGAAGCATCAATCCGGTGTTTAAAAAGCTGTGTGCAAGTTTGGACGGTGTTCTTGTATACAACGCTCTTTATGAGAGGCATCCGAGATTTCATTCTTGGAATCATTAAAAAGCAGTGCCTATTATCCCATGGAACTGTTTCTTGACACTAGCGTCAGACGTGTTTGCTGGTGCACCACTTCTGTCGTCGTTGAACCAGTTCATTAAGAGCCGTCACATCCAGATTAGTTTTATCACACCTTCTGAAAAAGAATAACAGAACTCCGGCGTTTCTGTGTTAGACAAATTTTCCAGAACATCTGCCTCCCGGGTGACCGTCAAAGGCATGCTCATTATAAGTGATATTCTCATCTTTCTGACAGAACTCAAGACAATATGAGCATACACCTGATTGACAGACTTACGGGTAACTTTCTGTGACTGATCTGTCAATCAAATCTTTTCTTTCTGACGGAGAATACACAGATGCCTAACCTGGTCTATTCTCAACTGTGTAATTACCTCTACTTACTCCGTCTAACTGAAGTCGCGCCGTCTGGTCGCGCCGTCGTTACTGACGTGCAAATCTTGACTCCTTAACGGTACGCAACCACCTCCACTACGTTCAGAGAACATCAGCGAACCTGGGGGACTTTTCGTACAATTTGCACCATATGAAAAACAAACAGTGTATGTCTGTTTGATAAGATTATTCCAAACGGAGTAACAAAACCTATGATCCACCATCTTCCTTGCATTAAAAAACAACTAAGTTACTTATTTGCGATGCCACTTGACGGCGGAGAGCATTTCATAATTGTTGCCACCCCACACTGGGGGGTTGTAACGGGATTCCTGCGTGGAGCTCAGTAACTTCAGTGAAGATGTGGATTATCTCTGAGCGCAAAGTGGAGCAGCAAAAAAAGAAAGTGATGATGGTAGTAAAAGAACACAGTGACGAACAATAATGTTTTCGGGATCTCGTCATCAGGTCAGTACATTTCTAATGGTTAAAATAGGAGCGAAAAATGAAATACGCTGCGAAGATTGGTCAGTGAAATGCAGAACGTACAGACACGAAAGATTGGTTGTCTGCGCCCCCCCCCATATCGCATCTAGTTGGATGCTGAGACAGTCAAGAGGGCTGCTGACTGACTTGGCCCGATGATCCATGCCACACGATCAGGGCAGATTTAGCGTTCGAACGAAACGTTTTTGACAGCACAGTACAGGGTTTCGCAGACGTATAGCGACGGCTTCGGCTGTAGTCAAGCAACGCCATTGAATAGATACTGGCAGTCTACCTAATGCACAGTAAATGATTAAAAATGATTCATTTAGAATGACTACGTACCCGGTGTCAATTAGATATTCATAACTGAGATTTCCTCCTGTAGGTGAAGCCAACAATTCCGAGAAACCAAGAAGCACTGCACACCTGTTTCATCCCTAAAGAGAGTCATCATCAGTGCGCATCTCATGAAACTGCATGGAGTTTCGAACCTCATTCTGTCCTGATGTGTTCATTCTGGCTTATGCACAACAAGGCAGGAAAGTACTGAACTCCCACTGAACCTGTATTCGGGCCCCGGGCAGGTAATGTACGAGGCGAGTTCATTAGGATCAGTCCACCAGTGCATGCCGAAGGAGCTTGAATAATCTCACCCAAATAGACGAAAACACTCTCTCTTGAGCAAGGTGATTAAAATTACGCCTCAAACGATGACCCGGTGACCATCTTCGTTATGTCGATCGGCTGATCCGCCTGTCAGGACTTCCCAGTCAGGTAGCTCAAATAGACGAAACAACTCTCTCTTGAGCAAGGTGGGTGTTTGAAATTACGCCTCAAACGATGACTTGGTAACCGTCTTCGTTATGTTGATCGGCTGACCCGCCTGTCAGGACTTTCAAGTTAGGTCCGTCAAGGGGGAATTTGCTCGTGACTAGTAAGTGTATTTCAGACATACCCAGGTGTCACAGATGTACAGGTTTCACAGCATGCTCATGGTCAGATCTAGTGTGAAACAGGTCAGGTTTTTCACCAGAAAGTAAGTTTTCTGGGTATGGCATATAATTCCGTGGATACTGTGACACACGGTTACCTGAGCGGTTTTCATCTGATATTTAGGTACCATATCAGAATGAGTTAAATATCCAAGTCTAGTAGGTCACCTTTCGAAGCAAAAAGCAACGAGCAAATTTGTTGTTAGTTCACTCCATGAACTCCAGATTCGACTTCTAAACTGACAAATAAATCCAACCTTTCCCATTCCGTTAACAACTCACATACCTACCCATCCACATCCGTCGGCGTAGTAACTTAGATGTTTGTCGTTCAGTTCGAAGTTACAGCGAGTTGTACATGTACTGATTATCAAGATGCAGAGGTCCATCAAATTTCAGGCACCTAAGGAAGATCGAGTACATTTCACAGAGATCTTATCCGGCTGACCATTCAAACTACATCAAAAATCTTTTTTGGTGCAGAACAATCTTTTGAGTCTTTTTTGCTTTTCAGATTCCTTTGTTCGAATAATTCTGAGGGACAGCATTCTGATAATTAACTCGGACGACATCCAAAATGGTGTTCTTCGTTTTCATTGTATTGCTCGGAATTTTACACCAAACGAACAAGGGTTGTAAGAACATATTTGTTTTTGCTCAACTGCATGTTCCCTTACACCACCAGGCCCAATTTTTGCAGGACAGTTGTACCATGCACCCACACTTAACTACAGCAGTTAACAGACAGATCGATGGTCTCCTTTGCTGTATTCCAAACTATTCATCGCCTTCTAGTTTACAGCTTCGTAAACATTATCTCGATTGTAAGTATAATGGGCCTCTCAAGTGATCCACCAAGGCTGCCGAGGATATGAAATCACTAGATCTTTAGGTTGCAGTACAGAATCGTAACAAGAATTTTACTTAGCTTTCCGAATAGCTGAAGACAGCACAAAAAATCATAAAACAATACTAGCTGAAGGAATCCAATCCACTCCATCGAGAAACATTTGGAATAGAAAAGTGTCTGCAGGTTTATCGCAGTTTTTTGTGCAAAATGAATTTACTGCTTGTATCACGAGTCAGATTAGGTAGAACTGTGTCAAGCAGCCTGTAGCTTTCCGTGTAATGTTTTTGAGTTGGCGCTTACAATAGAAAAAGTTTTCAACAAAGATTGTCACAAAGAAGGTTATAATAAAATAAGATCAAAACAACGTCAACAAAGTCAGTTCCTACGGAAAAATCATTGCGATTAATGTAACCAGAGGAAGGCCATTGTATGCACCATATTGTGTGCACAATATGGAAAAGGGGAATTGAATCAATACTCATTGTATCTATACAAAAAGCTGTGGCGGAAGGTGTGAAAGCATTTTCAAGTCGGTGGGATATGAACAAAAGGAATAATCAAATGTACAATTCATGTTTTACGTCAGGGTGTCCTGTCAATTTTTGTTGGAGCGCATGTTCGGCTGTATGGGACTTGTTTCCCTGTGCCTCTTCGGTATCGTAGGCAGACTGATATCGTGGGTGTTTTACTCGGCAGCAGTATACCAGTAGGATTATGAGGACTACCAGAAGGACGAGTGTGATCACTGAAGACAAAAACGAAGGGACAGAAAATAAATGAAACAATATCGGTCAGCTTATAAAAAACCAAAGCAATATTAAAAAGCCTAGGAAAATGTCGAAGAACCTTTGTTGTTAACTGTTTGACAATTGAGGTTCGTTACATGCGTTCTTATCTGAGATTGTGTGACGTTTTGGGAACTTCAAGCGTCATTTTGTGTGTATTTGATGCATCCGAGACAATTGCTCGAATACGGTGTTTACTAGACAGCCTTGTCAACAAACAGACGCATCGTAAACCCTAAAGTTGTTGGCTGGAAGCTTTCACACATTCACCAAGTTGTTTCGATTGCTGCTTCAAAAGGTTTGAAGGTTTGATATTCCAGAGAGGCCTATTTGACTGGCCGGTTGAGCAAAATCGATCTGTCGACAGCTATTACAGATTTTGATCACCGGTTTGTTCTGCAGCAATTCTGGCATTCACTTTCATGCATTTATTAGTAGCATTATTAGATTCGGGAAGTTTCAATGGAAATGTCATTTTATAAATGGAGCCAGCCTGTGCTGAAAAAACTGAGAAAGAGTACACTGCTGATTCGCCCTCACTGGGAATCACCACATGAAACTCTAGAGGGTTCCTGAGATGCGACCTTCCCGCCAGTCATTTGAACACAACGTTCAGCTACAAGCGACAGACCAGCACTGTGAATAAATCACACTTAATTAGGTTATAGCGTCACTCTTGATTAATTCACGGATCCCATATTACGGGATCACATATTGACCGGGTTCTTCGCTTCCATGCACTTCCGAGTTGTTTTGTTTGACACATTTGTCTTATGAATCAAAGTTCTGTTGCACTCGTTTGACTATAGTTGGAGGCTGTACATAACCGAAGACCAACCCGGATACAAGATCTAAGATAATCCAGAGATTCAGAACGAAGTTCCCACATAGCGAAATGCACTCATTTGCAAACCAATTTGGTTTTGCCAGAGACTCACCTAGAACCCGGCCAGGTCTCCCGTTTACAGTATTTTTAAGCAACACATTCAGTTGTTTAAAAACATCATAAACAAGAGATTTAGCTGAGTTCCAGGTGATTCTCTCGCAAAACCTATCTGGTTTACAAATGAGAGTATTTCGCCAGTTTCGAGCAATTTGGGTTCAAGTAAAACATGGAGTTGACGGAAACTCCGCTACTGTGCCTACCCGATGAGACCCAAGAAAGGCGAAATCGGTCGTGGGTTGTCGAAGAATTTTCAGCAACCCTATGAGTAGTGTATCAAGTTTTCGGGCAGTTTTGACGTTACCGCCGGTGCGGCCTCTGATTTCCAAGGGTGGGAGCAAATACGGCTAAGTAACTGCTCTCAGGCATGTCACCCGTGTGCATAATATATCTATCAGGTACAGTGTTCAGCTTACCTTAAAATTCGGCTAAATGATTACGAACATTCTGGCAGTTTGCGTGACAGAAAGGTGTTTCTAAGTGATGAGTAGACAGTGAATTCCACTGGTGTTGCTGAAGTTTTGTGATAACTCTCAGGTTGATTTATTTGATCAAAAGCGGTTACTCGGCCTCAGCAACTTGAATGAAATCACCTGTCTGTTGTTGCTGCTGTTGTCAACGATGATGATTCGAGTAGCATGTAAGCTTTTGCGTACTCAACACGGGTAAAATGACTTGTGACCTCATCAAGAAATTTTGGTGACAATCGGTAGATTTATTGCTGAGCAACGTTGCGCTCTCGATACAAAAGCTTCGTGAAGTTATTGTTCATCCAGATAAGAATTGAATTAGGACTGAAACATGAGGTGGCCTGGTGCGGCATATTCAGCTGCCTGAAAATATCAAAACCGAGAGATTCAGCTGGATTCCAGGTGAGTCTCTCGAAAAGCCAAACTAATTTGCAACTGAGTGTATTTCGCTATCTTCGTGCAATTGGGTTTCAACTAGAACATAAGGTTGACATGGACGGCGCCTACCTGATGGGCCCCAAGAAGAGCTAAAGCTGTCGTGGACTGTCGAGGAGTTTTCAGTGCATTACAAAAATTAGGATGCACTTTGACTGTTCCGTATATTTCGCAGCCCATGTCCAGATGATCTTCGAACCCGAATTTGCCAACTACAGCATTAGCATCGTAATTCCTTTGTCTCCACGGTGCAATATATTGGTCTCTATGCCGATCAGCCTGATCATTCGCACCAAACAGCGGAAAAATAAATATTCGCTTTCCATAAGTGGTCTTCGGGTTAGTAAATTGAAATCGTTATTAAAAAATCACTGACAATTATGAAGCAGACTGACTATGGTTCACATTGTTCGGGTTATGTTTACCAGGTCCACTCTTGAAATCCATGTTCGGCATACCAGACACTAGATTTAATCAGGTTTTCCATGTATAGTGTCCAGTTATGAATCGCACAGAATACAACATAGACTACCTTACCTTGGGCGAATTCAAATTCGCACTGAAATAAATTTATGGACGTATACGGACGTTCCTTATTAACTGTAGCTATGGGAAACTGATCGTCTTCTGACTGCGGAGTACATCAAGCAAAAAATAAACGGAAACTTAATGTGTAGGTCTTTGTAAGCTTTATTCAAAATAATACAAGGATGAAACTACGCTGATTTGCTCTTGTACAGTGCAACGTGTAAAACGAAAAAAGCATGCTTTCTTCGCTACAAAACGTAGACGGTAATTTGAAGCCTGTCATTTTGTTCTTTGGTTACGAAGGGAACAGCACTTATTGTAACACTCCCTAACTCTCAAGGAGTAGTTAGCTTACGCAGTCCCTGTGAAATTTAACACGACTCCACTGGTGGGAACTCCATTCGGTTTGCCCCTCCAAGCTCCCAGGATAGGTCAGCTGTTTGCGTAAAGAAAACAAAGCAACCGCAGCAAAACGTAAACTGTTGCCTAATAAAAACTATTTGCCCCCTTATGATTGCATTCCTCATTTCACATTTGTTATATACCAGAGAGTACCACTTTTCAATTGACCTCGCTGTTCATGCTGTAGAATGAGAATGCGACATATAACACTTATTGGCCTAGTCCTGTTGTGCACAAATTTAGAAGTCAACCCAATCCTTCTCTGTCTTCAATCGATAAACACAGTAGCCAAGATCTGTGCACGTGGTTCACTCACAGGTGTCATAATATGACGGAAAAGTGAGCCTGTTATCAGATACTCATTTAGAAACAGCGTGAGAATGTCGGAGAGCATACCGACTGTAATATTCTTGCATTTTTCTTGGGATGAAAACTCGAAACAAGTAAGATTATTTACATTTGATGATAGCAATTTTAGTAGTGAAAGCCATGAGTACATTCACATCGTGTACTGTTTTGGCAACTCTAATCAGACATAAATGGACTACCAAAAATCGTGAAGTAAAATGCATATGAAGCATTCTACAAGTATTCTACCGAGACATGCATGCACGAGAAGTGATCAAGCAACTTCTACAATCACTCATTCACACCCCCAAACACATCCACTTGTCGCGACTGCACAACGGATATTCGTTAGAGACACCCAGAAGAGGATGCAATAAAACGGATGTAAGGAACATGACAAGGACAAACTCAGAGATATAAAGTATCCCCGAGATTTATGCAAGCGATAGGCAGATATGGTAAAATATCTGTTCACTCTAAAATAAAAAAGGCATCGAAAAATTACCCTATGTGACGCATAAAAGAAAAAGTATACTGCAGTCTAAACGGAAGTGTGTGTTTATTTCAAAGTGAAAGACAAGAGCCTTTTGGATTAAGATTATCACAGACCTGCTGTTAGAAGCAGGCACAACATTACCATATTATGCGAGATTGGTTGTAAAAGAAGCCATGCACAGCTTCAATTTCATAAGGATTCCCTCACCATTTCCATTTTTGACCGCGGTAAGCTTAAATCAGCCGTTTCTTCTCAAAGCTTAAGAAAAACAAATTGGACCATTGTTTTCCCAACAACTAGAAAAATCCCAATGAGTGTAGCACATTCGAATTAATTTTTATTCTTTACTGTACGCATTTAAGTGGACCGTAGAAATCGATCAGTCACCACGTATTGCCTATTGTGAAAAACTAGCACTAAAAGGCATCTTTTTCTATTTGTCATAGTCTTCTGATGCGGTGTCAGACAGCAATGGCTGAAAACTGTCTGGTGATTGAAAAGTGTAGAATGGATAAGTTATAATCTTTGGTAATAGCGCAACTAAGAATAATCAGGCGAAGAATCATTTAAGCAGAGAAACTCAAGCCGACATCTGTGGCTAGACTAACAGAATAATGATCACCATTGCGTGAATCATTGACAAGTAATTATTCCGTTCAGGAAAAGTATCAGGATATGGCTTCTAGGAAGATAAACGTGATCCAGCAACGTTGGACGATTTAGATGGAAGATGAAGCATTTTCATGATCCCAAGACAACGCTTGGCAAAATAGGTCACAGAAAATATAATCGAAATAAGAAAAGAGCAATAGAATGAGGAAACCGGAAATTAAGGTTGGTAGTAAATATTGATTACTTGAAAAACTGGCTTTTGTTAAGTCAAACTCATGACAGAAGTAAAGCGGGGCCTCCTAGCAAACAGAAGGTCAAGCCACTAGACCTACCTTCAGTCCCAGAAATCAAATATTAGACAAAATTATTGATTACACCATTGAAGTGACCCTTTAAGGCATAACCAATCTCCTGAAGGGTATGCTTCGTGTCAGCCACCAGTACAGACGATTAGATTGTCAAATTTACTTTTGTGCCGTAGTTTGCACTAACAATTCAGTTACAAGTCACCACAGCCATTTCCAAAAATCTCAAATTTTACCAGATCGGACAACAGATCAGCGATTGAACAATTCTTCGCCAAAAAGTGTTTAGGTTGAAAACTTCAGACTGTTGACTCTTCTAACCTCTAAAGATCGTGAACTAGAATAACTTTCAGTAATAAAGTTTTTAACCGCACCGCTGTGATATGTTACGTCCGGGAAGCGGAAAGGTTAGTCTAAAACA